TTATATTATTGACCTTTGAATCAAAATAGCAAGTATAATTGAACACTACATAGCCATAGCGCATGATTTGAAAATTTTCAAAAGCCTAGATAATGAGTTCATGAACTATCACTCGGCCTACACCGACCTAAGGAGAACACAGCCCCAGAAGCTCAAGAAAATTTCGTTAAATCACCACGATCGGTCATCAATGGTTCTGATATAAACCACCCCTCAGATTCTTCGACTTGCGCAGTAATTAATCGAGGACAAGAACATGGGCAAGATAAGAAAAACAACACCACCTTTACACATCTCGAGAGCTGTAACATACCACATCTACAAAATAGAACCAGCCTAACCCACCACCAATCACTCCACCGTAGCTCCGCCGGCGCGGTCCCCATCTCCCAAAAATTGAACCGGGAGACTCAGGGGACTCTGGAGAGGAGGAAGTGCTGCTGAGGGGTGGCCCTGGTATAGCAACCAAGTTCTGCCAAGTCGGGTGTGATTTTGGCCGCTATTGGGATAAACCAAACAGACGCCAAGGTTAGAACTGACAAAAGTTTTAGTAATTAGTCCTTCTTGTATGCTATAGCGCTGTTACTTTTGCGCCTTCCGAGCCCGTACTCTGTCCATGGCCACGATAGGATCATGACGTTAGTAGAGCTTAGGTACCAGTAAGATAAGATATTCTCCAACATTAGAGATCTCTAGTCGATCGTAGGCATAAATAGTTTAACTATATGAATCTTAGGAAGGTATCTACCTCCTCCACTGCAAGATATGCATCAATTGATATTGCTTGGTGACAAAAGTTCCCCTTATCTTGCGTGAAGTATCTCTTGGAACCACTATAACCCCAGAATCATAACAGATATGAGAGGGATAGCTATGTGATCGGAAAGTCGAAGGTTGATAGAGCGTGTCTTCTAGGTGTGAACCCCGCGTACCAACTTTGAAAATTAGTCGTTTTAGGCAATTTTTGCTGGTTATTGCGCGAAATCGTAGGAACTTTTGTCGCCCGGCGATACAATAATTGGCGGTATCCTACTTAGTCTGTGGGCTGGTTCTTATGATGCTTCGCTGGATGGGCCAAAGAAGAGTCCTAGGCGAATTCGAATAATAGCTATCCTATCTTTTTGTCTGATCAAATCAGTAAACGCAACGCTCGGACGAGTGAGTATCGACTCGGCAATGTACTGGATGGCCAGGGTGGACGAATCACTTACCTTAGAATCGATCCATTCCTTCACAGTTTTTACGTAGTCAGCCTTCATATGATGAGTATTATGATTCAGAGGATTATGAATATAGATTTCCCAGGACGGTGTGCTGTTGGGGTCTGAAATGACACGCCTTTACCACGTTGCCTGCATGTTGGGGCAACAAAAAGAACTTCGTTGCTGCTGCCACGTGTATGTTATCGGAGAACGAGACTCCGTCACGTTTTCCAACAGTTCAGTAGCGTGAATAAAGATATGAAGCGCTGTGAGTTATGAGTGCTAGAAGAATGGAAGAATAAAGAGAAAAACGGATAATAAGCTACAACCAGAAGCGATATCGATATATTATCGGAGGAGAAATAATAAAATGCAACGAGAAGCGAAATGCTGTCGGGAGAGACATGGAGATGCAATAGTAAGCCTGCGAAAGAAACAGAGAAGAGCAGATAAAATAAGTCCGCGATGAGCCTGGGAGGCAAATAGGACAGAACAATCTTTAGAAGATATACTTATCCGATCATAAGGCGCTGCTGTGCGCGGTTTCGCATACCGGTAGTTATTCTTGTGCGTAAAATGCATGTAGCCTGACAGTAATTATGTTTTAGATGGAATCATACCTCATCTCTCCTCGACATAAGATTCTCTAATTTAAAATTTCTCTCCGTGAGTGTGATAACCAATTGCAAGTAAATCTATCAAGAATGCCAAGATCTCGTTTTTTCTTATTTATGACTCGAGTGATATTACATGATGAGAAGTATCAATCCTTCATAGGGCAGAATAGGTGGAAAGCATGTTAGTTATCATCGGCTCGTAAGTTATAAAAGGCGGAAATAACGGTCCGTACGACCCGGGATATATGCCTATCGGGTAGCATAGAGTACTTGATCATAAGATATCACTCGGTCTACAAAGACCATCCTCTGTTATCGTTATATGCATTGAGTACATGCAGTCTTCCGGTGGGGTAAGACCATCTTATGTTACTATCGGTTGATTCGTTCGTCGGGTACAGTCATGTCTTATTCTACTCTACTCGTATTTTCCTGACGTTTGTGGACGCGACTGATATTGCATGCCATACAAAAATATGCCAAGCTCATGATTTTGGGTGTATGCAATAATGGCCCAGTTCAAAAACGTCAGGAAGATACTAGTACGTGTAGTATGTGCGTTGAGCAGCGCACTAAGTTGCCCGATGGCCAACTTTGGCTAGTCGTTCGATGATACTTCGGCCCGACCCGGCCTAAAATAAGGTTTAGACTAGACTCTTACACACACGCAAACTTGGCGTATAGATTTTGCTCCTTCTTTTCAGAACACCACACTACATGTATGTACCTACCGTGTCCAAACGCACGATAAATGGAATTTTGAAAAGTCGGTTCATGGATGATATTGGCCATACCTATACCAGCTCCTTGCTCATCCATCATCTGGCAGCTTCTATAGCTCCTTCCATTTACTTCCCTTATCTCTACCCCCACCCCGGGCCCCTCCTTCTCGTCACAAGCCTTACGTCTGGACATCATCACGTTTCTCCGCCCTCGGCCCCTCCTATCATCAGGAAGGTTACTAGAACCTGTCTTCCTCCAAAGCACGGGACACCAGGCCTTTCTCTTCCTTCTAGTATCACGCTAAGGGTTGCTTTTATACTGGCCGTCCCTGCGTGGGAAGTGTTTGTATGCTCTCCCGGATCCCCTGGATCCTCCGGACCCAACCAGCATTTTCCTTGTCCATCTTAGGCCCCGGATGAAACCGAGGGCCTGAGAGACGTAGAGAGGGTGTTCGTTGTAACAGCCTTTAACACTGTTTCGGTCCATTAGAAACATTGCGGACCATGAAAGGGACAACGCACTGATTCAATAAGTTCTATGTGGCAAGCGCATGTGCCCAGAATTCCACATGCAAAAACGTACTCGTCGGCTTAAAAAAAAAAAAAGGCAGACTTGACAACATGATCCGACCTTTGAGAAGTACCCAAGATGATAGGTATCCTACATCCATGGAAGACACCGAGTATGCATACGGATATGGTGGTTTAAGGAACATGTGGTTCTGGTGATGCAGTGGCGAACCTGCCGTCCATAACTATTCATAAGAGGTTAGTTCGGATAAATTATACCTGACCTGAGTTATTTTCACTTACACATAAGGTGTACTGACAACTAGATATAGTCTGACGAACTTGTGACTTTTTCCAATTCCGAAGTTGCTCTAATCCTCTCTGGACCGGGGTAAAAGAATCTGTGAAACCACCGTAGCTCACCGCGACTCAACCATCAATTCTGACTATTTTGATGGAAGTTAGTGAAGTTTGTGAGTTTAGTCTTTATGACAGTACGTCTTGTTTGACTTGATACTGACTCGTCGTTGTGACTGGTGCATGGTAGTCATAGTCCTTAAATTAAGCTTGACAATAACGGTACTCGGCATCATAAATACTCGCTAGGGTTGCCTCATAAATAGGACTCCTAAAACAATCTCTGGAATGCTAAGCATCCAATCAGTTTTTTCAATACCTGAAACGTGGGGTCCTATCTTGGAAATGGTAATTACAATCATGGATTATCACTCGGAATTGTGGACCAGTGCCGCGGTGACAAGGCGTATGGGATTTACCAGCATTGTATGGTCTCGAAGGCTTGTAAGCCCAAGTGAGGGCTTTGACCAGACATTTACCGTTTGATGCTTTAGTGGTTTCATCCCACCTTCTTTTATTAAACAGTATTTCGCCTTGCCGGGAGAATTCATCCAAGCAAACGCCTGCGACCCAATCAACCCGAGCACACATGATAATAACCTGTTATTACAAGGTGAAACATGATGCAAAAATGATACCTTCATTCATCAACCCCCAGCCGATCGAGTCATGACTCATGACTTCCCTCACACTCACCGGACCACAACTTCAGCCTTTTCTCAAATACATAAACTACATTTATGCAACCACAGCTGATGTGCGCGCGTGTACAACACACCTCACTGGATAGAGTGATACAGCCCGCTGTGGTGTAACGCTGGTGAATAACTCGCATATCACAGTCTACCCCTCATATTATATCTTCGAAACGTCGTGGTCCCTATGAAGTAGCATGTAGATTGACTGCGATCGTTGTGAGAGAAATGACTAACACAGATGTTGCATAGGTTACAAATTGAACTATCCGTCTTTGTTTTAGCACGGAACGGTATGGAATACTTCATATCACATCGGATGTTCTCGCAATTGCAGGTACATACAGTACATAGGCCCCACGGATCGTTCCGGCGGGGTCCGTACAGCACGGAATTCTGGACGGAGGACTCGAGTGGGGTATGGGACTATCTACAATAAAAACTACATACAACTCCAGTTAGTTACATGTGGTACGACAGATATTGATACCAACTGTTGGCACACAGCCACAACCACGTCCTTCGTATGTCTAGGTACCTACACAGCCCCAGTGCTATCAGCCCTACAACCTTTCCGTATTTGACCTCACCGGATATCCGGATGGGGAGAGTTAGTATACACGTCATCGATAGAGGTACCTACATGTAATGTATTTGTGGGTTTGTGGGGAGAGAAGAGGAGGTGTGCTTGCTAGCTGGAGATGGTGGTAGTATTGGCGGATCTTATCGCTAGCTTATCAGATTCTCTCATACGTGCAGTACTAATTATAATAATTCATACGCGTCGCACACGCACGAATTAACTAATACATGTAGTGCACTTCACTTTGTGCAGTGCAGTCTGTACCTACATATATGGAGAATACCAAGTTAACACTATATACAGTAGCAGCCAGGATGATCTCTGCAATGGGGAGGGTAAAACCCCGGTTGCGACGGAATATCGAGATCTGTCATGTCAAATAATCAAATATTTCCAGAATGCACATGCGTTGTGAGGTGAGGTGGTTGGAGTGAATATTGATCATTGATGCTTTAGTAAATAGGATCGTACGAATCCCAAACTTTGACTTAGCTTACTGTAACTGAGCTGTGCTGTGTAAGCCGACACGTACGGCGATACGTACCGTCCTCGATTGAGGGAAGTGCAGTTGTTTACATAACGACAATTCGCGTATGTTGATAACTGGTTCAGATATCGATAATTCAGACGCATAACCAAACCAACTGCGCTCATGTTTAGAAGCGCACACACTGTGACCCGGTAACCCAGATGCGGAACAGTTTAGCGACTCTACATATCGGTCTCAACCGCTGGTCCGGACCCCGGAGTATCGCAGCGCGCGGGCCATTCCCAGATGCGTCGGTCGGGCTCCACGGGGAGAAACGTGCAGCGGCGCAAAAGGAAACAAAACAAAACAAAACAAAACAAACCACACAAAAGAAAAGTGACAAAACAAAACAAAACAACCTGCACATCCTAAAGCATCCTCTGCAGAAGCTGCTGTCGCATTGTCGGTACGTAGAGTCTGTCTGTCTGTCTGTCTGTATGTCTGTCTAGAGTACAATACCTACCTACCTATGCTATGCACCCCCAAACCCAACCCCAACCCCAACCCCCCCCCTCTGTCGCTCTCCCTATACTCTAACCCACCCACCCACCCGCCTTAGTCAACACTCGTCGCACTTCACTTAGTCTACTCTGACTCCAAGCAAGCAAGCACCCGGCCGCCCTTCCCGGCAGCAGACGAAACGACGGGGAAACACCCTGCTGGCAGCCTCAAGGGTAGGGGCAGGGTGCGGTAGGTAGGTAGGTAACCAACCAATCATTACCCGAGGCATCGAGTGATTTCCCGTGGTCGCGCCATATGGGATTCGATCCATGAAGGGCTGCCGAGGGGCCGGACTGTACACCCGGCCGGGAGATTGATGACGTCGGGGATCTGCTGGCTCGGGGGAGGGGAGAGTGTAGTTAGAGTATGTAATTAGAGTAGGAGGAGGAGGAGGAGGAGGAGGAAGGGAAGGTGGAGGAAGGAAGGTAGATGGAAGCGTACGTACAGCGAGCACGTTTTTTGTCGTTGAGCACGTTTTTGGGGGGCAGACAGCTAGCTAGAGGAGATGGGATGGGAGGGGATGGCCCCGGGATCTAGAGCGAGGACGGGCCGAGCGCTGAAATGATGGGCAGTGAGTGGTAGTGGGTGTTCGGGGCACTCGCCGCTCCCGGCCGGGGTGTCTTTGCGTCTGGCCGGCTAGCTAGCTAATTGCGATTGGGATTGGGATTGGGCCATAGCAGAGAGAATGAGTAGAGTTAGAGTGGCCCGGCGACAGACAGACAGACAGACAGACAGACAGACAGACACAGAGAGAGGGCGACATATGTGCGTTATTGCGCGGCGGAACCGGTCTCGTCTGCCCGAATGGTGTTTACTCGTCGGCGTCGAGCTCGCTGGCTGGGTACGGCCCGCTACTCTACACACATACAGGTAACAGACAGACAAGAAGAGACAGAAAGCCAAGCAATGGACATTCCGTGCTCGCGGGGGAGGATGCTCTGAACCCCTGAGCTGAATTGAATGCATGTAGAGTAGAGCAGCTACTCTAAAGCCTAACTAATACTTTTCTTTAGGGTACCTACCTATTCTACCGGCTTCTAGATGCGGTGACATGTGGGCGGGATAGAGATGGTTTGAGATCGATCGTCCCATTCCGTAACATTGGAGGAGCAGCACGTGTGTTTTGGGGTTTGGGGGGGGGGGGGGGTGCGCGAGCTAGAGGTGCGGTGCTTGATGGGAGTGGGTGGGTGGTGAGAGGTTATGAGGCGGGGAGTGGTGAGAGGAGGTGGGTGGGTGTCAGTGTCACCTACTGGTTTGGACCTGGTGGGGGGGTTGAGCTTGTCACAGAAAGTACCTGGGACACGGAGAGGGAGTTGCTTGTTCACGGCTGTACTCTGCGATCAGTACTCGATGAAATCTGTATGTGCGACTCCGCACCAGCTGAATTTCCTCAAGGCAAACACAAATAACGAGTGATGGTGGGACAGAGGCAGCCCATGCCAGGTGGTACAGAGTTACATTTCACTCTACCCTAACGACTACAGGGGGACGGGGACGGGGACGGGGATGGGGATGGGAGGGAGGGAGGGAGGGAGGACAGGCACTAGCTCAAGCCACGCCGTATACCAGCATTGCTTATTACCTGGTAACGGGACGGGGGGTGGAATTCGAGAAGAAGTCAATTGTTTGCCGCCGCGTGGATCCGGAGGTGGAGTAGGCGGTTGTGGTGCGGTGTGGGTGTGTAGGTAAATGTAGTCGATGTGTGTATGTACATAGCTGTTAGGCGCCTGTTGGTTTGTTTATGTAGAGCAGCGCAGAAGGAGGAGAGAATAGATTCTACTCTACATACTCTTTTCTTTTTGTTTTCCTATTTTCCTTCGCGGTGCGTTTCGTGGCTGCAGATGTGGACATGTGCGCTATCTATTACGGGTCGAAAACTCGAAAGCTGAACTCAATTAGATCGTGACTCTACATCTCGAGCGCAAGCCCTAGAGTAATCTACAGACAAATATATATGCGAATATGTCAAAGCCATTCCCATGCTCCAGCTCCCAGCCCAATATCACATCCAGCCGTACTGTGCCTCTACAGACACACATATGTACTTGGCAGAACATTGCAATACTTGGCAGAACATTGCACCCACCCCCATATGTCCACATATTCTATACCTAACCCTCTCTCGCATCGCAGCTCTATTTCCCACCTCATGTCTTTCTGGGCAAGCACTGGTCGCCGTTCTGGCCCACAAAAAATAATAGCAATGCGAATGCGAATGTTTTAGAAGAGAAAAAAAAGACATCTTAACCTACCGGCCTGCAGTCGTCCCGAAAATACTTTTTTGCGCCGTGCCGGTCTCGAGTACTAGTATACTTCTCTAGTTTCTAATATATATATAAATACGAAAATTGAAGTGGACGCATCAAGTATTGCACTTCCGTCCGTACATGCGATACATTGGCTCTCACTCGACTTGGCCCCATTTTGACTCATTGAACTGTCTGTCTGTCCACATTTTAAAATTCTCGCCCGCAAAACAGGTCAATCAAAAAAATCCCCGACCCTTTAATCTCCGGGGGGGTCGAGCGTTGGTGGGTTAGGGTTGTTGGCCAATTAGTTATGTCGTGATTTGATGTCAATATTGTGATTGGTAGCTAGGTGCAAGTGAAGTTATGTAGGTAATTGTGATCATCGTATATTATTGTGCAGTTACAGTCTGCGCCCATGCTCTACTGTGTCGCAAGTGTAGGTTTCTGGAAGGGCTGGCTGGCTGTAGGTGTAAGCAGGCCGTAGGTACGACTTGTGGCTATGAGAGGGGGCCCATCGCGGATAGTTAGAGTGATGCTGCCATAGTTACAGCGTGTGGTAAGATTATTGTAGAAGTATGGGAAGAGTCCCATTGGCCGAGTCACCCCCTGCTTCTACAATAATTTTCCCTCTCGCTGTAGACTGATGCTGCCTGGAAAGTGCAATATTATTATTACATATATTATCGATTCATGAGCAGCACAGACAGACAGAAAGCTTCTTAACCGGATGCTGCGCGACCCGAGTCCCGAAACAGCCCCCTGGGGGGAGGTGCAATAATCTCGGGGGACTGTTAATGAGCGATCATGTTAATTGCACTCTGCGGAAGGACGTGTGGTGATGATGCCTTATGGGCCATGGGTGGTGAGTGGTGTGTGCAGCGCGTGTTACTTGCCCAGCTAGCTAGCTAGGCTAGCTAGGCGGGTTTGTCAGAAAGAGAGAGAAAAAAGGGCAGAAGCACATAACTCCTTTCGCGCGCGACTGACGGCACGACATATTATTGCTGCCTTTTTTTTTCTTACGTCCTGCATCGCATCAGTTAACAGCTACTCGAAGCGTGAGTCGCTCGTTCGTAAGAGAAAAAGCCCGATTCGAGAGGATGCGAGGTTGTCCTGCTGCTGCGTTAGGTGGGTTGGTGTTAGGTCCCTGCAGACGCCACGCAAATCTTTGCGCTGTCTCGCGGCCGGTGTCTTTGGTTCTGTCTCTGGCTTAAATATATCCTGTGCGTTCGTTCGCTAGGGGCCTGGTAGATCTATGCGATGCGTATCGATTGGCTGGCGCTCTTTTTTTTTTTTTTCCTCAGTGCAGTCTGTAGGTATATATATGGAAAAATGGGGGGTGGCAGAGAGCAAGTTTAATCATTCACTAGCTGGTAGAGAGAGTACTTGTATGCTCATCGCCAACGACCAAGAAACAGCACTTGCATCGCGAGAAGGATTCGCACCACGTGATTCATGTCGGAATGTTGGTTGGTGGGAAGGCGCCTCCCGGATACCAACATTGGTAATTTGAGGTAATGGGATTGGGGGGTGAAGGGATCGGGGTAGGGTGTATTTTAACCTTTTCGCCGCCGCTGGAGTGCTTATATGAGAGCGCTCGTATATGTAGTACCGTGGAGTGGGATGACAGGAATATAGGGGGAAGGATGGAGGTTGGAGGTTGTGCTGTATGCCGCCGCCGCAGAGGGACATGGAGATATCGAATGGTGATGTGTTTGCTGTAGGTACCTTTCCGGATTCCCTTGAGAGAGACTTCGGTCCAATGTACATAATATGTAGCTCTACAAGCACTGTACAGTAAACGAAGTCTTTACCCGCGCTTGATCCAAGCGAGAGGGTTTTGGCGGCCTCGAGAGTCTAAAGGTATCGAGTTCTAATAATAATATCCCCACTCCCTTGGCGGTGGAAAGAAGGCAAGGATCCGCGGGAGTGGGAGTGGGAGCGTCTCTGTGACCCAGGATGTTCACCTCCAGACAAAAAGGTTTTTGTCACAACGACACAGACGGATCGAACGGGATGGGAAAGGAAAAAAAAAATGAAAAAAAAAAAACACATCTCCTAACCGACGGATTAACATTCGGGGATATGAGTACATAGTGAGTAAGCTGTAGCTTCCGACGGCTGAAAAGGTACCGATTCATGAGCCATAGCCTGGGCCGTGGTGGTGGATGGATGGATGTAAACAAGGGCTCGGGGGTTGGCACTTCGTACAGCCTCTACCTTACCTTAGGCACCTTGTATCCCTTGGACCGTGCACCACTTAGTAAGGGAATTATCTTGCTTTTTACGGTTGGCAATAACAACAGAGCCAATCAAGAATTTCGAACAATTGCCATATTAAGCTAGTGATAGCTGAAAGAGTGTGGTCGCGAATTTGACAACTTTCATCCGTCCAAGGGATACATCTTTCCTTACCTTACCTTCCAAGCCGGACTTCCTCCCAAGCTCCATGGTTCCTCATCCTCCTCCGACATCGCCCTCCTGCTTTCCCCCTAGCTTCAACTCATTCCTAGAAGTAGAATACCAGACACGTTTCAGCTTTCTTTAGGAAAGCCCGAAATCGACAGGTAGCCATACAAACACGCAGCCCATGAAACGTGGACAGTGCGCTCATTTTTTTTTTTTTCTCCCTTTCTGCTCTCTTTCTTTCCCATTCCGTGAAAAGTGCATAATTGCTACTCTACATGAAAGTGAAGAAAGGAATTGTTTTTTTTATGCTGTCATCCCAAAGTAGATTTTTTTTGATCTTCTTAAGGGGTCATCATCGGTCACCAACGCAAAAAGTGCAGTTGTAGTTGTAGCTCGGGCGAGGCGTTAACTGTCTGGCGGTTTTGGTACCTGGCTTGCCCTTCCTGCCCCGATTGACCTTTGGAAAGCCACAAAACCTTCATTGACAGCTTTCCGTAAGAGGGAAGGACATGGAAGGGTGGGGCGGAGTTTAAAACAGGGTCTAGTAGGGAGAAAGAGAAAGGGTCTTTGCTGGATTGGGATAGAGTAAGTTGGCAACGGTTAGGTCAGGGGTGGATGAGTGGTTGAGCCGCAGCTGTGGGACGACCAATTACCAGGCGGAAAGAGTCCGGGGGCTTGCGTCATTGCATAACTGGGTCGTCGTTCGGTCTTTTTTTCTGTTCCGCTACTTTCTGTCTTGAATTCTTGGTGATCAGGTAAGGCGGATGGAAGAGGGTTGGTGGTGGGAAGTGAGTGGAGCGCGAGGAGCTGTGAGGAGCTGTGTAATTTTAGAATCCTCTGCATGTCCGTCCCATCCATCCATCCGAAGAAATGGATTTTTTCTCTCCACTTGAGCTAGTATCTTTAGCTAGATGGTGGATCGTGTGTAGAGAAAGGAAGCTAATGGGTTTTCACGGTAATTCTCTTTTCCCTCTCAGTTCCTTTCACTTTAAACCCTCCGTCTCTTTTGTGGACTAGCCTTTCGTTTTCTGCCTTATTCGTGCTTCTTCGACATCCGTTCTATCCACCACATATATACCTTTCTCATACTTCGTACATATAGGCACACTTAGAGGTGCATCCCAACCGCATATCCGTTCTATTCTTTAAATATATTTCTGGTGGCCTTGTGTACACACTTGAGTATCCCTAAATACATCGAGTGCGTGACCTGAATGACCCGACTGGTCCACCTGCTACAAACCCTCCTCTTGCTCGTTCGTTATATTATTATTACACACAGCTCCAGCATCGAAAAGAGCCAGAGTTAGACATCGACCATCGACATCATCAGCCTCAGAGCTGTATACCTATCCCTAGCATTTATACCCATCGCCTGTCGCTGCTGCAGCCAGGTTCAAGCCCCCAGCCAGGGACAGCTACCTACTAGTACTGCATATCACAGTTCTTAACTGGTATTACCGTTTCCAAGATCCAAACTCACAACCATCAAACTCACAACCATCATCCTCGTCACTCACAGAACATCCCTTACTCGTCCCATCCCGTTTGGTATATAGTAGACGTTGGCAGTGTTCTTTTGGTTGTCGTGTCCCCCTCCCAAGAATCATACCATCTACCATCATCTCCACTTCTGGGTCACTATTTGCTTTTTTGCTACGCCAGTCAAGTACGTATTTCCCATTATTTTATCTTGCCGTAACAGGTTATGCGGCAATGCCCGTACAGTAGATACTAGAAGCGGCCAGGTTGTACTGACTATCATTTTGTAGCAGCTTTTCTTTCTCCCTTAGAAACTGGCCTGTGGGGATCCCCGTGGTTACACTCCCGTTCCAGGCGCACTTAATCTCTTGATTGTTGGATTTGAACACCCCCCCCCTTCCAACACGCATATCGGTGTGTACCTCACCTCTTTTTTCTATTTTATATCTCCCCACCCCCCCATCCTCTCCCCTCAATTCTCTTGCTAGTGGTTTCGATAAAGAAAATCTCGACGCCCCACATCTACTTTTTCGTTTCTCATATTATTTTTCCTCGATCTGGTTTCTATCATATCATTTTTGTTTCCCTGTCCCCTTCTATTTCCATCGCAGCCGCAGATCGATCAGCAGAGCACCACAACCACTGTCAGCAGGATTGTTTATTTATTTATTATTATCATTGGGCGTGCGTGTGTGTGTGTGTTGAATAATCATGGCTAAGACGTCCAGGCGCAGAGCTTCGTCAATCTTTGACAGCACCTCTATGAAGCGTTTCACCGGGTTCTTTGGGGGCTCCCCAGCCAGTGAGGAAGTTGTGCAAGAGAAAGTGCAAGAAATCGTGCCACAAACAATAACACCGCCGCCACTCCCTCCTCTCAACACAAACATTCGACAACAAAAAGAAAGGTCGGATAGTCTTCAGACGCCCATCACCGCTCTGAACGGAACACCCACCAGCGAGATCGCGCCAAAGGCTACCCGCACGTTTTCTATGCCACTGCCCTCATCACCAAAAGTCCAAGATTCAACATCAGTCCACCCAAAACGAGTAGAATCATTATCATTAGCTCCTACACCAGCTCACCCACCTGTTGCATCAGGTTCTCTGTCGCCATACCTACATCCTTCTTCGTCGCCGGTTGGATCCTCACGAACTTCGAGAAACTTCTCTGGCGCCTCAGCAATGTCGGGAATGTCTGGCATGTCTGGCATCTCGGTTGCCTCGGCTGCATCATACACATCGTACGGCTCATCGCGACCTACATCATCCTCACAAGCACAGATTCCTATGCCGCCCAGTCCGACAACGGCGGATATTCCCAGGCAGCTCAAGGGCAAGAAGGGCCGTCGCGGGATCTTTGGCAAGAAGCGCAAGGATGACGTTGAGATCCCGGCTGCGTGGAGGCTAGCTCATGGAAGCAGCGAGAACCTGGAGGGATACAATTTCGGCCCCCTGACTCGGGGTGGTCAGGTACGTTGGACATTTGATCCATTTTTAACTAAACCCTACTCGCTCGTAGTATTCGATTTTATTTATTAGGTTGGCTGACTCATCGGGTTTGGTTGATTTGTAGGTACCGGATCTGTGGGACCCCACGGGTGATACGCTGGTATTTTTAGCACCCAGGAATGCAGCAAAGCCGGTTGCACCGAGCTTTAGGATCAATTCGGGCCCGCTGATGTTTGCTGCGCTCGGTCAGTATATCGAGGATTTGCAATTTTCTGAAGGCCCGGAGGACTCGCAGGATCTGTTTTTGGAGGTTCCAAGGGGCGTTCCGTCGGCCCCTTTCAAGCAGGATAGCAGGCCGGGAAGTGCGCCAACGTCATCGCGTCCAGGGGGAGATGAGGATCTATCCGGTCAACCGGGCATTCTCAACCAGTTAGCTCAAACAGGGGAGGGGGACAGTTTCATGGACCAAAATGTCGCGTACAAGGTTTACTATCCGCCGACCGACTCGGAGCCGAAATCTGCTGTTCCCATGAAGGGAAAGAAGCACAAGCATTCAAACTCGGACCCCAGCAATGACTCATTTCAGAGGCTCATCGACGTCCGAAACTTGTTTGCGTTTCTCAATTACACTTTCCTTGTCTCTACGCTGCACAGGGAAACCCCTTTTCAGATTATGGAAAAGATATTCAAGCAGCTACAGGGTCCCCATTCGCCAGAATTGCATGCTGAGGACCTGAATCTGTCAAAGAAGATCAACGCGGCGGAGGGAAATTTCTTGTATTACGTTGAGGAGTTGAAGATTGATGACATCCGAAATGATGATGACGCGATTATCGAGGCTCTGATAATGGGCGAGCGCTGGAGGTGCCAGAGGTTGTATAGGGAGGGATTCATCCATGCAAGCGGTAGATGGGAGGATATTAAGGGTCATACGGGACTGCAATATATCTCCCAGGAAACAAAGAAACGCCTGGATCGTGCCTCGCTCAATCTTCACCAGATTCGCTTGTACAACGTTACGACTGGGCTGACTAATTTTGACTACCCGTCCGTGTGGGTTGGTGATGACAAATACCCTGAATTGAAGCCCTGGAAGGCAGGATTTGAAGCCATGAGGAAACTTACGCTGAACTTTTACAAGAATGTTTACGGGTCATGGCCACCAAAGGCTGGGAAGCATGGGAAGGGAGGTGGATACACCGAGACCGGCGGTCTGAACAGGCTGGTTCTGAAACGGCTTTATGATGATTTCTGTGTTTTGTACGACTTGTTGGTGGATCGCGAGTGGATCCACGGTGAGAGGATTCGCTTTGAGGCTACCCATTTCTCTGAGGGCGAAGAAGGGAAGGAGCAGAGGACAAAGGAGGAGGGCGCGCGGAATGCATTGAGGAAGATTATGGCGGCTCTGGATAACTCCACTGTCCCTGTCCAGCCCAATATTCCGTTCGATCAGCCTCGCCTGCTGCACATCACAGAAGCGCCTGCCACCGAGAAAAAGAAGTCAAAGAAGCCAAGATCGCAGAAGAAGTTGAAGTCGGACGAGCTGGCGGTGGTGTTGAAGAACTCATACAACGAGGATACTACTGAACGAGCAAGACAGAATGAATTTGCCAGCGCTTACCTGAAACTCGAGGCAGATTTCGCAAAGGGGAAGAACTTGGATGATATCATTGAGGCCCGCAGGGGAAGGTGGATTTTCATGTACTGTGTTCTCCAGAACCTTCCGATGACGGTTGTTGATGCTGTTGGTTGCCAGTATGGAGATGGTGTCGAGTACTTCCTGTGTGAAAACGTCAAGGGGTCTCTGCCATGGGAGAGGAGCAACAACAGGGCCAGCCGTATGAGTGGAATCTGGGGAGTTTCAGGGCCATACGGAGGTCTCGGTCCCGCGGGATCCTCGAGCAATCTTAACGGCGACGACGAGATAGATTACACCTACCGACGCAGTCATTGTTTCGATATTGCTGAGGACTGGAGGATGGTTCAGCGGGTACCTGGAGTTGATGATGAATTTGAGATGGATGGTGAGTCTGGCGGTGAGGACTTTATTGAGTACCGCCCACTGGACCAGCCTATGCCCGACTCTCCTAAGGCTGAGAGCCCCATGAGCCCCTCAGGATTGAGTCCGGCGCCATTCAGACAGAGCTATCCGAACAGCGAGAGGAGCCAGTCGCAGTCCCCCGAGATCAACACCGAGGGTGGATATGTTCCATATCATCAGCAGGGAGCGGCCCAGTCTCGAGAGAACATCCTTTCCGAGACTTACCAGCCGACATACAGGCCTCTGACATACATGCCCGCAGCACCCTTGGAAAGCGAGCGCCCGCAGAGCTATGGATCGCACAAGTCACAGGGTTCACAAGATGCCTCCAGGGTCAAAGCCTTGCCCCCTCTTGATTTCGAGGGCCCAGCCCCCGGAAGCCACAAAAACTCGACAATAGTCATGCTTCCCATGAGCCCTACCCACAAGGACGACTCATCTGGTACTAGTATCGAGTCGCAGATGGACAGGGCCTTTGTTGGGCAGAATTAATGATGGGGAGGAAACGATCTGAAAACAAAAAAAGGGAGAAGCTGCGATGGTGATTCAGGAACTCATTGGTCAGCCGGAGTTTTTTTGGGTTTTGACGGGATGGGATGGGATGGGATGGGATGGGATGGTGTGAGTGAGTGAGTGAGTGAGTGAGTGTGTGTGTGTGTGTGTGTGGGAGTCGGTTTAGAAAAAAGCACCCTTCTTTAATTCTCTCTTTATTGTCTTAATTTTCTTACATAGTTTTTTTTGCCATCGTTATAATCTTTTTTTTCTTTAACCGCGTAGGGGAGCGAGCGGGCTTAACTTGGATGGACTGACTGACTATTAGATGTTTGGTTGTGGTACTGGGGGCGGGTATTTAACATTGCTTTCGAAAATTTCCTTTTGGTTTTCCACGGTCTATTTTGTCAGGGTTATTTCTTTTTTTCATTTATCTTTTGCTGTTTCTGCGTATTCATGTGGGGTTGGGGATCTTCTTTTCTCTTTTCTTTTCTACTATCGCTAAGTAGTTTATGTATCTACATACTAACTACCTACCAACTGGTTTGAGATCTTTTTTTCTCTTTCTTCCTCCATTGCATTCCTGCCTCTGAGAAGGCAACACAAGTCGACGAGAAGATGATACTACATCTGCGTGCATATCATCGTTCTGTACCTATTTTAAAAACAAACAAACCCGTCTTGACCACTCTGTCCTGTCCTCGTGCATCGTATTTTTAGAAAAGGACGCCACAACAGTGTGTGCCTGATCGTATGGTCGACTGTGGATGTGGAAGCGAAAGTGCACAAAAGACCGAAAGCACTTTGCTACACAGGCCCTGTCTGGTTGGTTGCTGCGTGGCGTCATGGGGCGTCACTCGATAGTGCTGGAAGCGGGATTCCGCTTGCGTTGCACGGACGGTGGCAGCAGTCGCAGTGGTAGCAGAGAGGAGAGTGCCTATCGGGTGCGGGATCGGGTTGCGGTGAGACATCCGGATCGTGGGTGCGAGATGGATCGTGCGCGTGCATGCAGTAGCTGTGGTGTGCATGCGCAGATGGAGGGCGGGCGGAGATCCGAGCGATGTGCTGGTGGGTGATGTTCTGATAGGTGGGCCGGGATGGGGAACTTACTTTGCTGTGACAGCGGGTGTCTTCCGGAACTCCATTACCCGTATACTACACCAGCACCACGAGGGACTACAAGTATCTCTCCTCTCCACCGTCATCGTCCTGATTAGATTCTCATACGCATACACAAATAACATTCCATCCTATCTCCAATAGACCTCTTTCCCCTAAAAAGGTATGCATCGATGCGATAATGCCGAATTCCATCCTTGGTTCCTGGTGGGCTTGATCTCCCTTTGGGCGCACAGCACCAAAGCGCGATAATGACGAGGGGTGTGTTTGTTCGAGGCGGTCCATGAGCTGTATGTGTCTCTTCTCATCTCTTCTCTGTAACTAGTGCATTCCTAACTTGATGTGAAGGCATTGTCACGGAGATTTCTCGCACTGTAATTGCAACAGTACTATAGACACCAAACACCTATGGAGCTGCATGGTTTGGGCTTGAAACAAGAGGGAGGAGCAATATTGTCAGCTTGTAGCGCTGTCCCCGGTGGAGACGGCCACGGAACTGGTCTGTACAGTGGACATGTGTTCAGGATATAGGTAGGGGTAGAAGCAAGGCTCCCCTTAACTGGGCCCTTCTTGCTGAGGAAGCTGGGCATGAGACCGATGGCGTGTAAAATGAGACGGAAAGGTTGATGAGAGAGTCGGTGATAGGAGAGCGCCAGATGAGGATTGTGGGGCATCTTTTTCCTTTCATTACGTTGATCGTAGAATGGCCGGGCCACGAAGATTTGGGGCGGGATGATGCGGAGACATTTGTTTGACCTTTACCTTTGGAAAGATTTTATGGATCTGGATACTAAGGTACCTAGGTGTTAATATTGTGTAATAAAGAGGACAGAGTACTAGAGAGAGTAATCGGTAAGTCTTTACACGGGGTTAAAAAGGCACACGATAGGAATGATAGGGCCATAAAAACTGTCAAGACTATTATATTTCTCGAGAAAACAAGATCTTTGGCGGTTTAATCGGGATATTTAGCCTCGTATTGTGCGCAGAAAATTCAGTATCTTCAAAATTCAACCGACCTATGTAGGTTTTAGTTGATGCCGGTGGCTTGAAAACTCCGTCCTGAATTGGCTCCGTCAACGAGAGGTAAATACATCTTTTTAGATGGAGTAATGTGGTCAGTTTGAGGTGTCAAAATTAAAATCTTGGTATTTCGTGCATAAGGCTTGTTTTACAACTGGTACAGTCTTAGTGAAGATGGTTAAAAGTGAATCCAGATTTAATAGCTGTATTTTGACACTCCCTGCGAATGCCCACGCAACAATAGGCTTACCAAATCACTTGTCGATACCAACAATATTGGGGCCATAGTATAACGCCCACAATCCCACCCCCACTCTGTTAATCGACTACCCCGGGCACGAAGAAATAGAATTAAATCCACCCGCCAATATCCAAATAGAACCTAGCCCAAATCCTCACGACGCCTTTATGCCGAGTGGATATAGAAGTGGAGATGGCTCTGTGTGGTATGGAGTAGGGTAGGGTTATTAACGTTGTAGTCCGTTGTAGGAAGCTATCTATCGAGGGGGTTTCCCTCGATCGACATGTCAAACACCCTCGATAGACATGTCGGTTTAGGGACTGGTTCTTTGTACCGGATAAGTACTAAATACCTCTTGCGAACTGATCGCCTCTTAAGCCGGGGACTGACGCTCAAATTATATTAGCTGATCTGCCCTATGCCTCCTTTACAAATATTTAAGAGAGAGGACGGGCCGGGCTTGTATGATATCTCCATGCCTATAAAGAAAGGTTGTAAGGGCTGACCGGTGGCCCCCGGGGGATCGTTCTTAGTATTGTATGTGTATGTATGGATTCCAGATCGTGAACGCACGGCGATGTATTATTTAGTTCCAAGGTTGGCTGCCGTTTCCTGGGCTGTCAGATAAGTAGTCATACGATATACAAATGTTTCCTTCGTCCGACATGTTTATCGGAGGGTTCCTCCCGATAGATAGTTCTCTAATGTACTAGAACATTATTCTCCGAATAGTATAATCTTCCTCGTTGTGGTCAGGAAGCATTATCATTGGTTAATTTTCTTCTACCATATATAATTACGATGTGTAATAGACAAAGAGTCACTCCCGAGTTCGGAAGGGATGCGACGTATGTACATGTAGCATGCACTTTCATATATAGGGATATAGATCTATAGATCATGGATGAAATTTGGCTTCGTAGATAGATTGGACATTGCAATATCCACTCAGAGGTCGTATATAGATTGGACAGTATTATTTCACTCTCTTAGGCTTTAGCTAATTTGCGGCCGGAGGCTGCATTCCACTTGTAACAATACAAAACTATTTCGTTGTGTTCGCCCCGAGCTGGTATTGGGTCAAGCGTTGTTGACGTGCAATGGGTGGTGTCGAGTGATATTTCGTGAGTCGCACCGCTAGAGATCGGTAGCCTCGTGAGAAAGTAGGTACGGGATTAAGCGAAATCAAAGTACTACTTGGAGACTCCGATGGATCGATTGAGGGTTAATTGGCGGTAATACTGTGGTTATTTGACATCTGGGAGGGGTTTGACACATGTATCAGCTACCGCATTAATTCGCCTCGGTGGACTGTCACACAGGGTCCTTTACAGCGGGCATGAGGGAAGATTGGTGGGCGTTTTTCAAGACAAATGACCAGATAGGGGAATTCCAACGTACTGTGTGATCGTCCGCTGAGGTGGTGAATTAATGCGGTACATAAGGTGCGTATGCATGTAGTTATACTTCCTTATAGTTCCCTCGACGGATATCTATGATATCATAGCGCAAGTAAGGATGAGTGTTTTTGCAGGTGATACTTGTTTAAAACGGAATGTAAGTTTTGTTGCACTGTAACGCTCACATTCGATAGGCGCCCGGTTTTTCCTTCCTCTCTCTGCTTTAATTTTCAGTGCGATGGTTCTGTGTCAAAAACGGCACAGGGGATTCGACCATTGGTGGGTTGGTTCGAAGCCCAAAAGCTAGCCAATAGAACTTTTGTTTCTTCATAGCCCCACCCCCCACGCTGCGGTCCTTCATCACTCCAGTGGGCCAAGCCAGTTAGGCTCCATGGGGACCTGCTTAAATTCAAGGGGTGCCATTCGGTGCTTTTCGACCCATGTTGATCGATGCATACTTTGCCCAGGCATGTGAAATGCAGGTCCAGATCAGGCTTCGGGACCCCCCGACAATGCGTTAGATTAGTAAACTAGATTAGCGGAAATGGCAGTGGAAAGATGCTTAAATCCCAGCTGAGCGCGGAGTATTGGCTATTGCTTATGGGTTTGTGTGGTGTGTACGTAAATAATATACTCAGACTTTTGAAAAGGAAGGCCCTGTTCTAGCTCGGGGAGGAGCTACATAGAGTATGTACGGCGGGAGATTTAGTGCGCAGGCATTTGGCGGACGGAACCGCGTGTGGCTTGGCCGAGATACTGATAAAAGGTAATGATATCATCCTAGGTGTAACCGCCTTAGACTATGTGTTGATCTGTGGAGGTGAGAAGGGCGCATTGAATGATAGCTGGTTCTCCGTTTCCCTCGTCTCAGTATTGTACTATGTAGCCAGATCAAGCGTTTTCGACCCAACGCGTATACGCGGCTTATAGCTTACATCTCGGTACAAATCACACATTATTGAACCTAATGGTAGGTACAAGAGCCTGATTTGGAATATGTACAGATAGTGTTCGAATCCCGGCAAGAACACCGCGATAGCAATACATGTAGTTAAGAAACAACTTCTTCAATTGTAAGACTGTTCTTATCTTACTTTTTAGGCGGCCGCATCTTCAATCGTTCTTAGCAGCTGGGAAGACCCTTACTATTGGATGTAAGCCCTCTGTTGAGTTCTCCAATTATTGTTTAAAACCATATTAGGAAGTTGGATAGTAGCTGGGTTCCTGATTAGGTAGCAACTGTAACTCAACTTCCGAATTGATGTTATAACCCCGGATTATGGAGCTATGCTCTATAGGGACAAAACCCGTTAGAGTAGGTCACTGGTTTGATTTGAATATATGGATGAAGTTAGAGAAATCGTAAGTTTAAACTATTCCAGAAACCTTGGCCTGGCTCGGGGAGGAGGTAGAGCGTGGTCCGTTGATCTTTGTCGTTGGAATTAAGTGTCGGTGAGGATCTGCGATATCAGGATTCTGCAAATGGTGAACCAAAGTTTAAATGCTGTTTGAAATGGATATTCATACTTGAGTATAAATCCACAATCCCATGACAATGATGTATACGCCATACCATCTTCAGTAGTTCAGCAAGGTTCTTATCTGTAATTTAGAATTCCCCGCAGATCGCCCTCCAAAAAAGCAGGTACAGAACTTAATATTTATTGCTCAGTAGTTTTTGTGTCCTGCAAGGGTATCGCAAGGGTATCGCAAGGTGCCGAAAAATTAGGCGCACCCCAGAAACACCTGTGCGATATAGCTAGATAACGGTGTCCACCGTGTAGTTCAAGTCAGTATTATCATCTATAGGGTAGGACTTTCACCTTGAATCACTCCGTCTTAAGGTAATAAAATCTTACTTTCCCCTTTTATGGTATGAATTTAAAGTATTTTAGTGTCACGGGTACTAAACGTATGCTTCAGGCAGCTCAATCAGCTTATCGCAACAATTCACCCCGCATATATCAGATAATCTCATATTATGAGATGGGGCCCGAGATGACTCCACCTGCTCAATCCGTGAACACTACCTATCACGATAGTATCAGTTAGGATGATCGAAAGCATTGAGGAGGAATTGAAGAGCAGATACACACTTTCCATATTGAAACAAGTATGTTCGTGTGATCGGATACTTGTATACCATATTTCTAGGCAATCCTGAGAGCATGTGTGCAACTCACTCCACATGGCCTTGAAGATAGTTAATGCCAATTCAGGCGGTAAAGAAATCGAATAATGAGTATATATATCCTTATGAATCCCCAAGGAGACACTCCCACCTCCAAGCATCGGCTTCAATTCAAAATCAAGAGTCTGGTTTTCGCAAGCAGCAGAAGTCTGTTCTTCAGGATTCTCTTACGTATTCGAGTCCCTCAGAGATCAATCACAAACAATGCGTTTTCCATTTGCTCCTCTTTTAGCATTAACAGCTGCCACAGCTGTTGCAGCTCACCGAAGGCTCCTCACCATCCCTGGGCAGGTTGATGGATCGTATATCGACTCAACCTCACTTGATAGCTCTGCCCTCAGACCTCGCGCCGATAGTGACCCCAAGATTATCGCGGCCGAACATCTCAAGAGCATAGTCCCCAATGTTGAGTTCCGTGAGAACGGCGATGATTATACGGATGTCGATTCTGGTATCACACATGTGTATTTTACCCAGACACTCAACGGACTTGATATTGAGAATGCGCAGGCAAATGTTAATATTAAGCGTGATGGGTCGATTCTCTCCGTGGGGTTGAGCTTTGTGACTGAGGGGTTGAATGTACCCGCGCCTGTCAGGAGACAAACGTTACTATCACCGCTGGAGGCTTTGAAGGGAATTGTCGAGAAAATGGATCTGCCACTAAATGTCGACGCTGCAGAGGCAGTTCCGGAGTCTTCGTTGGTAGGAGGTGGACAGTCATTTACTATTATGGGGTCTGAGGGCGCAGTTTCGGTATAAAACCTTCAGTATTGAGCACGATTCGATCGAGGACAGCCACTGACAGTGGTTTTGTGTAGGAACCAAGGGCAGATCTCGCGTACTATCAGACCCCTGAAGGCATTAAGCTTGTCTGGAGGGTCGAGACTGACCTCAATGAGAACTGGCTCATCACCTATGCCAATGCTCAAGAAAAGGGCTCTATCATCGCAGTTGCCGATTATGTTGCCGATGCTTCCTATAATGTTTAGTATGTATTTATCCAATACAGCATATGAATTACCACTAACGTTTATAGCCCAATCGGTGTAAATGATCCCACCGATGGCGCCCGAACCGTTGTGACCAATCCCGCCAGTACTTTTGCCTCCCCCAATGGCTGGCACACCGCCGGAAGCACATCCTACAGTACAACTCGGGGTAACAATGGTATTGCTCAGGAGAACTGGGATGCCGGTTCTGATTACTTAAACAATCAACGTCCGAGCTCCTCTGGAAATAGTCTAAATTTTAACTTCGCATACAGCCCATCAGATGATTCACCCAAAGACTATATCGATGCTGCTGTTACGCAGTTGTTCTATACGGCCAATGCATACCACGACCTCTTGGAAGTCCTTGGGTTCACAGAGGTGGCTGGAAACTTTGAGGACGTAAATACTGGTGCTGGTGGCCGTGGTAACGATGCTGTGCAACTCAACGCACAAGACGGTTCTGGTTTTAATAATGCCAACATGGCCACACCTGCTGATGGATCAAGGCCAAGGATGAGGATGTATTTATGGAATGTGGTTCCCGGTGTTCAGCGCGACGGAGATTTTGATAATGGTGTTATTATTCACGAGTACACCCACGGGCTCAGTAATAGGTTAACTGGTGGTCCTTCAAGGTCTACTTGCTTGAGTACTACTGAATCCGGTGGTATGGGCGAGGGATGGGGCGATTTCTATGCCACTGCAATCAGGATCAAGCCGAACGATACCCGTACAAAAGATTATGCCATGGGTGATTGGGTTAACGGGGCTGGTATGGATATAAATCTCTGATCTAAGAATAAACTTATTGACAAAACGACATAGGAATCCGAAGGTACCCATACTCCACCAGCATGACCATCAATCCCACAACTTATGCCACCATCAATCTTTCAAATTGGAACACTCTGGTTCATGCAATCGGTTCTGTCTGGGCCAATATCTTGTACGAAGCCATGTGGAATCTCGAAGACAAATGGGGTTACCAGAAAGAAGTGATGCCAACCTTCCGTGCTGGCACTAGCATTCCGACTACTGGCCGCCATCTGATGATGAAACTAGTTCTCGAGGGAATGAAGCTGCAGCCTTGTTCGCCAACATTCTTGACGGCGAGGGATTCAATTCTAGACGCAGACCAAGCTCTTACCGGGGGTGAGAACTTGTGTGAATTGTGGAGTGCGTTTGCGTAAGTTTCTCTCTACGAAGTTCCAGAAAGATGAATGCTAATTATCAATAGTAAACGTGGGCTTGGGGCATCTGCTAAACAAGGGACTGGGTTGAATGCTAGAGTAGAAAGCTTTGATATGCCAACTGACATTTCGTGTTAAACAGTTTTTATCAATTTATGAAAGATTTTATGTCCCTTGAAATACATGTATATATGAGGATGAACAGAAGCAATTAGGTTTAGTACCGTGATGAACGTACACGAGCTCGAGGTATTTTTGGATCTCTAGCTATTGATTTTTCCACTAAATCGCGTACTCTTTTATGACGGTGAAGTTCACGGCCCGCCGTGTGCTTAACTAAGGAGATCAATATCTCTGGAATTGAAATCCAATTAACAGGGCCTGGCTACATATACGAAGTATGTACTTAGTATGTATATATGATGTATGGATCGATCTAACGTTAACCACCAGCGCATGAATATCATGTAGTCTGACCTGCGACTATGAACTCACTGGCTCGGGACTCGGGTTAGGCGTACCTACATGTAGCAAGGGAGATTGCCGACTTGGCAACGGTCTTCACCCGACGTCTTCAAACAATTGTATATAAACTCTTGGCAGGGATTACTAAACCGCTTCCTACTCGTTTGAAAGAATCGTTGTTGTTAACTCGTCGACTAAATACGGTCGTTAAACAATTGAATCTCAAGAATTGTCCAAGGGTTGAATACATGAGGATGTAGAGTAAGTACATCCTATCGGACTCAAAACCAGAAATTTAAGTTACATGTATCTACTGGCCATGATAGATAAGGCCTAACCCGGGTCGTGACAGGTAGCCCTTGCAGGGGTGTTGATTGCATGATCTTCGAAGGGCCGTGAATAACCGAGATCCAACAAGCCTTAAGAGACGTCACCATCCCTTCTCTCCCAAACACCAAATCAGAGCGAGGAAATTGCTGTTCACCGAAATTCTTCTCTGTCGAAGAATAAACAGCTCCTCTAATTTAGTATATCACCTCCTAGCCTTCATCCTGGAGCCCTTTAATTTAATATATAAGTCACTTTCCCACTATACCTCATCTCATCACGAAGAGCTGCCATCCACTATGCCCTTAACATCATTCAGTACTCCAGATCCGTACAAATATCAGAATGGCTTTAACTCTTATCATGAGTGAGATATTACCTATCCCGGATGTTCAATTTTTTTTTTCTCCTTCACTATTGCTAAGATCCCCGCTGCGCTTAGAACGGAAGCTATACCGGGTGCCCTTCCAGTGGGTATGAACTCTCCGCAGAAGCCACCATTTGGACTTTATGCGGAAAAACTTTCCGGTACAGCCTTCACAGCTCCGCGAGCAACAAACAAGCAGTCCTGGCTTTACCGAATTATGCCATCCGCCTCACACTCTTCGTTTTCTCCAGTCCCTGATTCTGTCCCAGGGGTTCAATCTACTCTCCGCCCATCAGCATTTCACCAGATCCCGAATCAGCTGAGATGGGACCCGTTTGAGATTTACCAGGATAGGGATTTTGTTCAAGGACTAAACATGATTGCTGGAGCAGGTGATGTGAGTACGAAGAATGGAATCGGTATCTACGCATTTGCTGCTGGGAAGAATATGGATTATCATTCCGCTTTTTACAATGCCGATGGGGACTGGCTTGTTGTATTGCAGCATGGAGAAATGGATGTTGAGACGGAGCTTGGAAGGTGCCGCCCTCCACATGCTTTTTAAGTGGAGAAGTAGACTCACAAAAATATAGACTATATGTCCGACCAAACGAAATCCTCATCATCCCACGTGGGATTCGTTTTCGAATCACTCTTCCTAATGGCCCGGTCCGTGGTTATATACTGGAAACATTCACAACAGGGCACTTTGAGCTTCCTGAGCTCGGTCCCATTGGTTCAAACTGTTTGGCCAACGCTCGTGATTTTCAGGCACCTGTAGCATCTTTTACGGATGATGTCGGAAGTGCGTCGAAACCTTACCGCATCACAGCTAAATTCGATGGAAATCTTTTCGTTGCTACCCAGCGACATAACCCCTTCGATGTAGTTGCCTGGCATGGGAACTACTATCCGATGAAGTACGATCTCGGACGTTTTAACACCATTGGCAGCATTTCATTCGACCACCCAGACCCAAGTATCTTTACAGTGCTGACTGTGCATTCTGCTGTAAATGGTACTGCTGTCGCTGATTTTGTTATCTTTCCACCGCGTTGGCTGGTCGGTGAAGATACGTTTCGACCTCCATGGTATCACCGTAACACAATGTCGGAGTTCATGGGCCTTATCTCAGGAGACTATGACGCTAAGGCAAGCGGTGGCTTCCTCCCAGCCGGTGCGAGTCTGCATAACGTAATGTCCGCTCATGGGCCAGATCATGGCACACACGAGAAGGCGAGTAATGCTATACTCAAACCGCAAAAGGTTGGGGAAGGGAGTATGGCATTTATGTTCGAAAGTATGGATCCTTGTCTATCTTTTCTATATTTTCAGCAGCTGACGAAAACTCAGGCATGTTTATGGTCGGAGTGACGGAATGGGGTTTGAAAACCTGCAGAAAAGTCCAAGAAGACTATAATGCGGAAAGCTGGGGGAGTTTGAAAAGGAATTTCAACCCCCCAGCCGGAAAATGGGGTTCTCACAGGCCAAAGTCGAAAGGAAGTGATAAATAGAATTTCAATTACTGGGAGGATGGTAGAAGTAGTGCTTAACAAGCATTTGGTTTCCTTGCGTCTCATGCTTCTTGTAAGCGTCTTGTTTAATCCCGCCTTCTAATACTGTATGATATTCACGAGAACACTGGGAAGTATCCTAAATACTGACCGACAACGAATGACTGGGCATGAACAATTATAAACTTGAACCCTAGAAGATTTGCTAGACAGCCTGATGTCTATTTCATGATATCTAATTCCCGGATACGTCCCGGTCAAAGCTTTGAGGGTTTATTATCCGTGAAACCCCAGAAATGCTTACATCTACATGCATTTCGCTCCACTCTCGGGATACTGGTCCTTTCTTTTCGAGGTATAAACCTGGCCACTTCCAGAATTGGTAGTTTTGCCAAGCTGGGCCTTATGGTATATAGCAAGTATGTGCATCGTGTATGTGCATACATGTAGCTAGTTCACTAGGAAAGAGCCCGAGAAAACTACCTTACAAATATTATTGCGGAGACTGGGAATTCATCCCATATCGTTGTGACGAGGGGGGAGCTCTGGGAATTACTTGAATGTGCTGTACTAGCCATCCGCTTGGCAGCATCCTAGTAAATGTTGTGAACCAGGAAGCTGCCAAGATTCAGCTATTAGTACCCTACTAGCGGCGCCGATTCGCTGTTAAGTCTGTCAATATTGGGCTATTTTCTTATCATGCATGGCCATGGTTTATCTTCAACCAAGTTATCGCTTGTATCTAAGATGGGGCGATGAGCTTTAGTACAGTCGTTCACAGTGTGAGGACGAACACTGGGTGTAGACGGACAGGGATTTTTGGACAAATAGGAAGCGATGGGAAAGATCGCTTTGGCAGGCTGTTTCTTGCCATATTAATAACCCTGGTTCGTCTTCACCCAGTGTTCGTCCTCACCCCGTGAACGACTGTAACAAGATTAAACTCTCGTTGAAGATTATTCGTTCATTCTTCTATCCAGTTATATCACTGTTTACCGACGAGACTTAAACAAAGAATGAAAGTAGTATACATAGCACCTTGTCGTCATCATGACAACCTCGTCATCGGATATGGTAGCCGCTCGAGTTGCCCTGTGTATGGCCCGAGGAGAAAATACGACGGGAGTTGTTTTTAAAGAGCAGTAGGGCCGGCAAGGTCTGTTGCGACCAACCTCAGATTACTACAGTTATAATGGCTACTCTAAGTGTTTCGACACGAACGGATGAGACGACTATCCCATACTTTCCCGAGGAAAGGGAAGGTTGGCATGGATATATCGAGTGGGAAGACTACCCAGAGAAACGGGAACAAGCTGCAAAGGTCTTGCAAACGCATAATTTTGCTCCAGTAGGTCCAATCACCCCAAATGTTCGATTTGATATTTATATTAACCCCATTATCATTCGGAATAGCCATCTGAGTTTCAACTGGTTCCATTGCCAAAAACAAATCCGATTTTGGAGGGTGTTCGTTGGAAACAATATCATGCAGCCCTTGGTCCAACTATGGAGAAGATGCCGGAGGAAAGCTGGAATATTGTCAAGCAGGAGAAGGCGGAGGATATGACGCATGTTCTACAGTTTCCCTATAATGGAGAGCCCCCAAGAGTAAGTCAACACTGTCAATTCCGACAAGACCCCAATATGCTAAATAAGGGTCAACAATTTCTGCCTCAAAGGATCGTTTGATCGAATCAGCGGTTACACCCAACGAACTCCACTTCGTCCGAAACCATGGCGGAATTCCAGAAATTGACGAAGCGGCCTACTTTTTTGACGTCGGGGGACTTGTTAACGAGCCTAAACGGATAACTCTCGCTGAACTTAAAAACGAAAGTCTGTTTCCGAGACAGAGTAATATCGTCACCATACAGTGTTCGGGGACTAGAAGATTGGAGCAGATTGCATTATACCCAGGAGAAGGTGACGAGCTTATAAATGCTCCTGTGAGAAGCCCTACAGGAATGCATAAACATATAGGTAGTGACTGTGATCGTGAACTGATAGTGCGGGTACTATAGTGGGCAGAGGGCGCGATTGGAACAGCAAAATGGACCGGCGTAAGCTTGAAGAAGGTAATCAAATACTGTGGTGGACTGAAGCCGGAAGCAAAACATCTAGAGTTTATTGGTGCGGACACGTATTTCAAAAAAGGCCATGTCTCCAACTACGGCATTTCGGTACCGTGGAGAAAGGTTAAAATGAACGAGGTTCTCCTAGCATGGGAGATGAACGATAAACCGTTACCAAAGATTCATGGGTTTCCCTTAAGAACCGTCACCTTCGGTTACATGTATGCTTATCCTTCTGTTCTCTATTATCGGCTTGGCGATTCCTTTTGTTTTCTTTGACGCTAATTTCAGTGGAAATAGTGGAGCAAGATCCTGCAAATGGCTCACCAAAGTCAACGCTCTTCCGGAACCCAGCAAGAACGTTGTCCAGCGCAAAGAATATCTCTACTACAATCAACAAATTGGCAAACACAATACGACTTATAGCTCTGGCTTTTCAATCCAAGACATGCCCGTATCTAGCGCCATGATGACCCCAACCGATAAAGCTGTCATTGTGCACGATGGTAAAATTACAGTCAAAGGTTGGGCTTATAGTGGTGGAGGACGGTGGCCGCAGAGAGTGGAGGTCTCAGGTGACGGAGGTTCTGTATGGTATGAAGTACCATGGGAGAATTTGAGCAAAAAGTATTATCACGCGTGGAGACTCTGGTCTATCGATTTGCCGGTAGATGCAGAAGGTTGGCTGGAATTTGTGTGCAGATGCTGGGATAATTCACTCAACACTCAGCCAACATATGTCCGTTCAGCATGGTAATGACATCCCCGCACTCATATCTCCTGAGAAAATGTCATTGACGTAAGATCTGTACAGGAATTGGGATCTCCATGTGACATCGAGCTGCCATCGTCTTTTTATTTATAGCGTTAACAAAAATAAATTGCCAACGGCAATGCGACTTGCACAGCTGGAGAAAAAAGGGATACCGTTGACACCAATCACCTTACCGTTAGAATTTGATATCGAAGATGATGAGCACTATTTAGAGGTTTTAGAAAAGCAAGGGCCAAGAGATCCCGAGGAATAATAGTTCTAGGTCGCAGGTATAGGGGGTCTATGTATCGTTTGCAGGTACATTTAAACGGGCTCGCGATCGTAAATTTTCTTTGAAGGAAATTGTATCAGATGTGTTTTGTTTGAAAAAATATTCAATCATATAAAGTATGTGACAGCATTTTAAGATGCGATTGAATTCAACAAATACTTGTAACTAAAAGTGGGCATGGACGTTAGATATCATCATTTATTTGACAACAAAGGCTATTTTGCACATATCCGCTAAGTACATGTACTTAAATCTGTAGGCTACTCACAACACGTGAAAGGGGTATCGATTGACACTACATAGTAGAATTCACCTCCGTTACACAAATCATGGTTCATGAAACACCAGAGCGGACTTGAATCTTCTTCAGGGCTACGGCAAGTAGTGATGGCCGAGCTATACGTTCTCTAGGCCCTGTACCTTGCCTGTCGCTTGTTAATTTAATTTTCCCCGCCGATACAACGTAAACCTTGATCAATTGATCAATTGAGCACTTGGCCAAGGCATGAGTAGCACATGTTGAGTAGTAGGTGAGTTTGCTGTACGAAAGCATTTATTAATTTAGAATACTTTTGTCTTACGAAGGGTAGTTACGTGTGTTCTGGCCGAATAAATAAATTGTATTCCACATGGCACAGAGAATCATGAACTACACGTACTCATAATAATAAACATCACTAAACAAACAGTTCCGAAAGGTCCGGAGGCTGAGTGGTGAGCTCTTGGCACGAAATATTAGAATCGCTTAACCTGGCCAATTCGGTCTAGCTTCTTACAACCATACAGGGATCTCATTGGATGGCAACTCATGTAGGCACTATCTACATCTACTATGTACTGGAATATAATTCTTCTGAGATTGCTGCAATCTGATTGGTTGACAGCGACAGGGATATTTAGTAAGCACGACACATCAAATTTCGTTTGTTTGGTGCTGTTACCCTGCCTGATTTGGTGCGGTTACCCTGCCTGATTTAGTGCTGTTACCCTGCCTGATTTGGTGCTGTTACCCTGCCTGATTTGGTGCAGTTACCCTGCCTGATTTGGTGCAGTTACCCTGCCTGATTTGGTGCAGTTACCCTGCCTGATTTGGTGCAGTTACCCTACCTGAGGTTACGCTGCCTGCAGGTAGCGGGTGCGCTCTGAATTTGAGGTGTCGCGCCCGTTGCTATGCACCTTTGAGGTACGGTGCGGGTTCTGAGTGTGGGTTGCGGAGTTGCGGAAATGCACCAAAAAAAACCCGTTTTCGACCCTGAAAATAACCCCCGGTGCGTCAAGTGGCCGGAACCCCCCTATTTTGCACCGGTGGGTCTATGGGAGCTGGGTGATAACACACACAACTCCTTGGGACCGGACTCTTTGCCAAAAATTCAATCTACTGAATAAAATCTACTGAACAAAATCTACTGAATAAAATCTACTGAACAAAATCTACTGAATAAAATCTACTGAATAAAATACCATCAACTCTTTAACAATCAATATCTTCGATTAAATTATCTGCTCCCGGGCCAAACAAAGTCCATTCCATACCGTTCCATAGTGTTCTCACCCAGCTCTCTCGGCAACATGTCGACAATTAAATGCACAACCTGTAAACAAGATAAGGATATTGCAGATTATGATCTCGATCGTAATGGCCGGCCCCGTAAATCATGTCGGCCATGCTTAGTGAGTTTTTAAGTTACAACTATTAATTGAATTCTACTGATTCGGATCTTATTACAAGGCTCGCTCGCGTGAAAATACACGTCGTCGAACAGAATTAAGACGGCGGCAACAAATCGTAAATAATGTAGAGGTGAGTGGCAACATTGCTCTTTATAGTACCAATACGCGGGGCTCCTATTCTAATAGATACTCCTATGGCAGCCATCTCGGCCGCCGATTCAACCCGCGGTACCACTAGCATTCCAATCGTCACGGGCACGTTGGACGCCATTGGAGTTGGGCAGAATGACAGTGATTTGTCCTTCATGTCAAGCTTTACATTGGCTAAGCGAGCGCGTGCAAGGGAGTTCAATCACGTTACCGCGGTTTGAAAATTGTTGCAAGAAAGGCGATGTTCAGTTGCCGGCATTGGAACAAGCCCCCGAGTACTTACGGTACCTACTAGAATCTACTGATACAATTGCTAGACAGTTCCGTAGCCGCATTAGGGAGTACAACTCCGCTTTGACCTTTACTTCCGTTAAATATACCTCAGATGAACGCATCGACCGTCAAGCTGGGGGGGTTACATGCTTCCAAATCCATGGCGAGCTATATCACCTTCAGGGGCCCCTGACTGCAGCAGCAAACGATACGCCCGCTTTTGCTCAGTTATATTTCTATGACCCACTCTACGCTGCACAAATGATGCAGCAGGGACATCCAACTCTAGATATTGCGGTTTTGGAACGGTTGACACAAGAGATACACACAGTCAATCCATTTATTCCATTATACAAGACAGCGAAGGAAAGATTGGAAGCTGCATCCTCACAAGATGGAGATGTACGTGTCTTACTCAATCCGCAATTGCGGTTGATAGTGGAGAGTGGAGCGGACAAGCGGAGACACAATTTGCCTACAAGCAATGAAGTCGCTGCGATTATCCCGGATGAATATGGTGAAGCAGGATTCCAGGATATTGTCTTAGCACATAGAAATCCAGATGCCAATAGGCAGTTTAGTATAATTGATCCTAATCATGCCGCTTATATGCCCTTACATTATGTTCTGCTATTTCCAAATGGTGAGAGGGGTTGGCATTGGGGCTTACGGCTGCGGGATGAGTTGAACCGAAGGAAGAATTTAAGGTTACAGCAACGCGAATTTTACAGGTTAGTTATAAACACCAATGGCTCAAAGACTTTTTGATATGGCTAACTTTTTGATTACTATACATGGTGTGCAGGTACCGACTGCATACCAGGACGACTGAACCCATGACTTTATTCCTCTCGCAACGGCTATTTCAGCAGTATTTGGTAGATGCTTGGGCTGTTTGTGATCAGAATAAGTTGAATTGGCTTCGACTGAATCAAGCAAATATTCGGGCTGATCTGTACAATGGGTTGGCGGATAATATGCGGCAAGAGGACTTCAACTCGGAACAAACCGGGAAGCGTATCATTCTACCACGAAGCTATACAGGAGGCGACCGATACATGCTGCAGTTGTTCCAGGATTCCATGGCTATAGTCCGTCATTTTGGGCGTCCCTCACTATTTGTTACCTTTACCGCGAATCCAAAGTGGGAAGAGATTACTGCGGAGTTACTACCGGGGCAAACTGCTGTTGATAGGCCAGATTTAGTTGCAAGGGTGTTCCATCTCAAGCAACAACAACTCCTCCAAGAAATAAAGCGTAAACACATCTTTGGTCGCTATCTTGGGTCTGTATGGACCATTGAGTACCAGAAGAGAGGGCTGCCACACATGCATCTACTGATATTCCTTCATCCGGATGATCGCTTTCTGACAGCAGAGAGGATCGACGAAATTGTGTGTGCAGAGTTACCGGACCCCGCGACTGATCCTACGGGGGAACTAAATGCAATCATTAGAAGTTGTATGGTACACGGTCCATGTGGAGAGGCCAATATGCGATCGCCCTGCATGGCTTCAAAGGAGAATGGGGGACCAACTGCATGTTCGAAACGGTACCCTAAGGCCTATCAATCAGAAACAGTTGTACAGGAGGATGGCTATCCACTGTATAGAAGACGTAATGATGGCAGAACCTTTTCAGTGGTAGTAAGGGGCTCAGGGTTTAATCAAGAGTATCAGATGGACAACAGATGGGTGGTTCCATATAATCCTTATCTTTCTTTACGGTATAAAGCTCATATCAATGTCGAGATCTGTGGTTCTATCCACGCGATAAAATATATACACAAATATATATATAAAGGTTCAGATCGAACAACACTTCAAGTAGGGAGTGACTCGGATGAAATTACTAGATACCTCCAAGGGCGTTATATAGGACCCACTGAGGCTGTATGGCGTTTGTTCGAATACGGAATGCACGAAGAATACCCGTCAGTCATTCACTTGGCTGTTCACTTGCCCGGCGAGCAACCGGTATACTATGGAGATAACTCCAACCGGGAGGAGTTGATACAGAGGATGCAAAACTCGAGAACTACACTGATGGCTTATTTTGAGTACAATACAGAGCACGAGGATGGTACCCGGTATCTCTATCAAGATTTCCCGGTGTACTTTACCTATGACGCTAAATCGCGGAAGTGGGCATCCAGGAAGAAAGGTGTGGCTATTGGACGTATGTGGCATTGCAATCCTATGATGGGGGAGAAATACTATATGCGTCTACTGTTAACCGTTATCCCTGGCGCAAAATCTTTTGATTATCTGAAAACTGTCAATAATGTGCTGTATCCTACATTCAAGGCTGCATGCATTGCCCTTGGCTTATTGGACGATGATCAAGAGTGGGTGCAGTGCTTTACCGAAGCAAGCATATTCTCGAGCGGATATTCCCTCCGTACACTCTTCACCACTGCCTTGCTATTTGGCAACGTGACTGAACCTCTGCAATTATGGGATAAATTCAAGTCAAATATCTGCGATGACTTGCCCCGAGCTATGGAAAGAAACACAGGTCTCATTATCCCCCCTGAGCTTCCGGATGCCCATCTGGACTATGGTCTCTACCTGATATCACAGATTCTTGCCGACTCCAACAGAACGCTTAACGACTTTGGGTTGCCCCTCTATATAGTGGATTGGAACCGAACAGGTGGGAACGAGATGATTGCATCAGAACTACGATATGATATGGTTGCGGAAGCGGCAAGTCTACAGTTGAGGATCGCACAACTCAATTCAGATCAGTTGGAATGCTTTAATACTATTACACACAGTATTGAAGAAGCTGCGTCCGCCCTATTCTTCATTCAAGGGCCCGCAGGTACTGGAAAAACGTTCCTATACAACGTTATCTGTAACCATTTCCGCTCCCAGGGTAAGATT